GGGGCCTGCCCTCACCCCTGCCTGCCCTGCCTGTGCTCCCAGCTGGCCGCCAGGCACTGCCGCAAGCCGGTGATCAACGCCGGGGACGGGGTGGGGGAACACCCCACGCAGGCGCTGCTGGACATCTTCACCATCCGCGAGGAGCTGGGCACCGTCAACGGCATGACGGTGAGGTGGGGGGGCTGGGGGGCCGAGGGGCCCCGTCTGGGCCCTGGGGGCCGTGGCCGGGCTGACCTGACCGCTCTCCCCAGATCACCATGGTGGGCGACCTGAAGCACGGGCGCACGGTGCACTCCCTGGCCCGCCTGCTCACCCTGTACCGCATCAACCTGCGCTACGTGACCCCCCCCGGCCTCCGCATGCCCCCCGACATCACCAGCTTTGTGGCCTCCAGGGGCATCAAGCAGGTGAGGAGTGGGGTGGGGGGCTGGCCCCACACGCCCCCCCAGCCCTGTCCCCCCAGCCCTGCTGACAGTGCCACCCCAGGAGGAGTTTGGGAGCATTGAGGAGGCGCTGCCGGACACGGACGTGCTCTACATGACCCGCATCCAGAAGGAACGCTTCGAACGGGCCGAGGAGTACGAGGCCGTGAGTGAGGGGACCCCGGGTCCTGCTGCCCTCGGGGGCTGTGGGGGGTCCCCTGCCCCAGCTGAGGGTTCTCTGTGTCCCCTCTCAGTGCTTTGGGCAGTTCATCCTCACGCCCCACATCATGACCCGTGCCAAGGAGAGGATGGTGGTGATGCACCCCCTGCCCCGTGTCAACGAGATCAGGTGGAGGGGGGGAGCAGGGACAGGGGGGCTGCAGGGTACTGGGTGGGCAGGGGGCTCAGGGGTAGTGTCTGGGGGAATGGAGCTATGTAATATACTGGGTAGGATTGGGGTTCCCAGGGCGTGGGAGTGTGGAGGGCTCTGTGCTGTTGCTGGGTCTGTGCTGTTGCTGTGGGGTCAGGGGCACGGGGGCTGCAGTGTGCTGGGCAGGGTAGGGGGTCTCAGGGTGATGGGGACTGTGGTTGCTTGGTGGGTTTGGAGGGAGACAGGGTCTGTGGTGTGCGGTGGGTCAGGGGTCCCGGTGAGGTATCAAGGTGGATCAGGGGTCTCGGGGGGGGCATCC